ATTTCTAAATATCATTAATGCCCGTAAGGAATGTTTGTGGTTACCACTCGTTTTTACTGTCAGGCTTTGTTGTGTCTCATGCAGTAAAATTATTCCATGCTGCACTCCATGTTTGTTGGATTAAGGTCATGTCTGTGAGGGGTTATGTCTTTATTGGCCGGCCCCATATGCACACATGGCATTCTTCCCCTCTTTGCAATGGTATGACGGGCCCTTAGGCCTGTATAAATAGTCACTTATAGTATGGAAAGGCAAGGGGGCCATGTGTTGGAACAGCTGGTCTGTGTGTGTGTGTGTGTGTGTGTGTGTGTGTGCGCGCTGATCAAAGGAGTTGACTTGGCCATGGGTTCAAACAGGACTTGGCAAGATACAGTATCTGTCCTCCTATCTGGTGTCAGTAGGAAGATGGGATGGCAGCTGATGGCAAAGCTGGAATGGAATGAGAGTGAATGAGGTTTTTAGTCAACATCCTCCCTGACTGCGATATTGAAGGCTGGATTCCAGAGGACACTCCACATAGATACAGATTATCCTCCCTCAAAAGCTCAATGGCTTAGTGTTGGTTTTTGGCTTTGTATTATTCATGAAAAAGAATGATGAAGCACAGTTATGTCCAGGTTAAAAAGATTATGTTTTTTTTAAACACTTTAAACCAGTATTGGTTATGTTATGTTGCATTTTTAAATTTGTTTCTCAGTCGACTTCAGCAGTAACTCATTTCTAAACAGTTCTGGACAACAGTACAGGGCAGCTGTCTATATCTCTATCATGGTGCTAACAACAGTTGTTGGTGTGTTTAGAACCCCAATAAAACTAAGAGCAGCTGTGCTGTGTCACAACTTCCTGTTATTATAATTTCGATCATAATTTGGAATCCTACAAGAACCAGCTAAGAAACAATTAAGATTCAACTGTATAAACTGAAATTACCATTTTTTTCTGTTTATTTTTTGGGGAATTTGTTTATCCAGTAAGATCTTAAGAGGCTTTCAGAGGATTCGTACTTGATCCATATAGAATGGTCCAAAATAGGTCAGAAATTTCATTAGGAATACTTTAGTGTTTATTTACAATTTTTGAATGGCGCTAAAACTGTGCAGCATGCTTGGCAAGAAATCTCAAAAAAATTGCTAGCCATTTGATCTGGTCCTGCTGAATCCCCAATTTTTCCTGAAAACTATTAAACAGAAAAATTATTAATGGATGAAAATGTACAACAAAACATGTTGCTATGTTGTACTATTGATTGCCATGTTGTTTGATTTGTTCATGTTCATGTTCTGACTGTATGATTTCCGTGTTTTGCTATGTGAATATTTTTCCTCCACAACAGCCATGATACAATGAAAAAGGGAAAAAGTGATGTGAGTTTATTCTAATTACAGCACGGGCGAGTTTTTGTTTGGGGTCATCCATCAGGGTCAGGAATTTGGCAACAGCACCCCATGGATTATTTTAAGGAACCTATTTCTCATTAAGGCCTCCAAAAGTGTAAGAAAGGTATTTTTAGATTAGAGCAAAAAATAAAGGCCATGGGCACATTATTTTAGCCATGTAAAGTGTGTTGTTTTTTTTAATTTGGCAGTAAATGTTGAGCTATAAAATTATAATCGTAATCTGTGACTTTTACCTTTGTCTTCATGACTACATGATAACTGGTAACATTTGACTGTAACATTTGATCACAGAACAAAATATTAAGAAACAAACATAGACATACCCTAATATTTTAGAATGTGGAATAAGAAGAAAACATTTCCTGTTCATTTCAATTAACCTTTTAACCAGTAATATGAATAAGTTCTTACAAGAATATAACCATCTATAAATGGATTCTGCATCCTTTACTTTTGCTGCATCAACACACATTAGCACTCACCCAACATTTTAAGGGGTCATATGATGCGATTTCAATTTTCCCTTTCTCTTTGGAGTGTTACAAGCTCTTGGTGCATAAAGAAGATCTGTAAAGTTGCAAAGACTAAAGTCTCAAATCCAAAGAGATATTCTTTATAAAAGTGCAGAGTCAGCCACACCTACCTAAAACGGCTCGTTCTAACATGCCCCCACATATCTACCTCACTATGTGGGAAGATTTGCATAATGCCGCCCATATGTTCACGCAAAGAAAGAAGGCGTAACTTTTATTCTCACTGTAGTTTTGACGCTGCAGCCATGTCGTGAAGACGCTGTGTGCTTCATTGTGAAAGCGAAACTACTTTGTTTGGTCTTCCAAAAGAGGACGATATCCGCTTTGTTATGCCTAGAGCTGATCTGTGCTGATCGCTGAGGGAATACATCAACTTTCACCGTGGATGAAGCGGAATCCAGCCCGGGGTCGTCATATGTGGTTGCCACTCATTCGTCGGATCCGCTGGGCGTGCCGTTCAGCTCACGCTAAGCCGGGGCTTCCACTCGAAAGACAGTATAAGTCATTATAATCAGTAATTATGTCCCCACTGGACGCAACAAATGCCTCGTTTGTAATGGGTTTTAATGTTTTTGTCTCCTCGCTCCGGCCGGGACACGGCATCAACAGTATGTGAGGGGCGTAACATTTCCGTCTCACGCTTGAGGTATTTGGCCAATCACAAAGCATTGGTTTAGCTAGCCAATCACAGCACACCTCGCTTTTTCAGACCGATGAGCTTTGTAAAAATCAACGCGTTTCAAAAAGGCAGGGCATAGAGGAGAAACAATAATGTACAGTATGTGGAAAACAATGTGTTTTTTTTACTGTAAACCGCATAAACACATTTCATTACACCAAATACACAAAATAATGTTCTTTTTAGCAGCATCATATGACCCCTTTAAAACTTTCCAAAGCCCTGCTCAAAAATGCCATCTTATTGTTTATTATTTTATTTAGGCATGATATCATAAACAAGTCAAGCTAATAATGTTTACCAACTGAACATTTTCTTATAATGAGCAGGGAAGGACGTCATTTGTGCTGTGACTTCATTGTGTTTGCTATTAAATGCATTATTGAGGCATGTATCACCATTTAAAGCTGTATGCTGTTAATTTAAATGAATCCCCATTTAAAGTAAAGGCATGCAGCTCTCTCTTGCGCGAGCATCTGGCTTACTTAAATTTGGCCTGCCAAACAAAACAGTTGTTTATAAATGTTTTCCTCCCTCTGCTTAGACCTCATTTAAATATAAATGAAGCTGTTACTGCAGTGAATTCAGGTATTAAGAGAAAATAGGAAGAATGGTGTTTGATGCCTAATGGTAAAGCTGGAATAGTTACTTGTTGCTAAGGTGGTTGTTGATCTCACTGTTAGATACAGAGTGAAGCAACTATTATCTCTAGATCAAATCATTGTGCTCTCAAGACTTTTGACTCATGGGGTATAGAGTTCCCTACATCCATCACCTGGAACTGGTGCAAAAACATCATTGTCAGATCTGACCATCCGTAACTGACATTGAGTTCATTGTTTAGGGTCAGAAGCTCGCTGCACAGTGGCCTAAAGGTACATTCCTAACTCTAGAGTAGTGTTTGAAACACAAACCCTCTTTGTGCTAGGTGGACCCACTGGTCCTAAGCATCAGCAAATGCCCCCTTTTCATGTTCAAGTGTGAACTTGTATGTTATCATTTTACACATAAGGAGTCCACCTTTTTTCACGGCTCATGGGTACATTTTATATCTGAACCCATTGTCGATGTTGCTGCTAGCCAATGTCTCTTTTTCTATTGTAATTTATGAGACACGGTGCAGTGAGCCAGGAACTATCATTTTCAAACAAATTCCTTGCCTGGATCAAGCTGAAATAACATTCGCCCAAAAAGCATTTTCAACTTGCTGTAATATGTAAGAATTTATTTTATAAGATCTTGTCCAAAAGGACAAAAAATGGTAACAGCTTTGTATTTTCAGCAAATGCCAAATGTTAATTATATCTCTTGAAATAAATTCATTACAGCTGCATACAGGGACATCTGATAAAAGAAAACTTGACTTTCCACAACACAATTGTTACATTCCTTCATGAAAACCCTATGTAGTTAGATTTAATGATAATGGATGGAAACTCACACTTGAGTTGGAAAAAGATTGACCTGAGGGTTGACTTAAGACTTATAAACAATTGACTCTAAATTAGAAGTTACTTTACAGAGTCTTTAGGTCTACAAGGAAACTGTCTCTTGTTCACCCTATGCTATACACTATATATATATATGCTGTACACTACCGTTCAAAAGTTTATGGTCAGCAGTTGTTGTTGTTTTTTTGTGTGTATTCAGCAAGTATGCATTAAGTTGATTAAAAGTAACAGTAAATACATTTACAGTGTCACAAAAGATTTTTATTTTAAATAAATGCTTTTCTTTCAAATGTTCTATTTATCAAAGAATCTTGGAAAAAAATATATCATGGCTTTCACAAAAAAATAGTATGCAGCACAACCGTTTTGAACTTTGATAATAATGATAAATGCTTCTTGAGCAGCAAATCAGCATATTAGAATAATAGATCATGTGCCATTGCAGACTGGAGTAATGGCTTCTGAAAATTCAGCTGTCATCACAAGAATAAATGTATTTTTAATCTAATAAAATGTATTTTATTATGTACATTAACTGACAGTCACCACTGATAAGCTACTACTAAATATTGTAGAAACATAATTTGCTGTAAAGTTGCTTTGCAACGATTTGTATCGTGAATAAGCGCTATACAAATAAACTTGAATTTAATATTTTTAGTCAAATAAATAAATCATTCAGAAATCCTACTGAACAGATTACCTTAGGCCTTATTTTCTTTTATTTTTAATTTAGCAGCTGTTTAAAACAACGGCGAAAAGCATACATTGCTTGAAAAAGTCATAAAAAATTTGCATACTGCTTTTAAATTGTATTTATTTATTTATTTTAATATTGGGGCCCTAAACACATCTGAGTTTGACTCTGTCTCAGAGAAACCGAAACACTAGCCTAAAAACACTAGCCTAATTGAAATTGAACACTGCTAAAGTGCAATCCTGTTCAAGAAGATTGCTGGTTGTTTGTTCTTGAACAGAAACGATTCTTGAGTCTCTGATCAAGTAATCATAGTCACAAAATCAACTGTGATGCTGCCCAAGAACGTACCTCATATATATTCTACAAAGTCTGAGAAACGACGGTATAGTTGGGCTTTCTAACCCACCTTCTGCTTTGAGGTAATCCAAACCTTTTGGAGAGAGACCATTCCTGACCATCATGCCCCACCCCCATTCTCCCGCCCCTAACTTGACGTCGAGATTTGCAACAACAAACGATAGGACAGACCAATAGGAATCCCTAAAACTTCCGCAGGAGTAGAATGGATAAAGCAAAACTAGAGGGTCAGAAAGGGGCCAGTGTGTGCATTTGAACGCCGTGTTATTATCTGTTCGCGTCCCGATGCGTACTTATTGACGGACGACAAGCGCTCGCCCGTGAATGTATCAGTTCAGTCGGGGAAGCGTGATGTTAGTAGCTCGCGAGCGCATTCGGATGTGAGCGAGAGACGCGAGAGGACGAGCTCGTGAGCTCCTCACTTCTGCCCAGTGCCCACAAGAAAGACAAGAGGTGGAGGGAGGAATCGCCGCACTGTCACACGGACACGAACCGGGAAGATGGAGTGAACAACCCGTTTACTGGAAATAGCACTTCTCGTAATCCAGGCTTCTTTTTAAGAACATGGATTAGGCTACAGGAAAATGTCTTTATAGATTCACCGCAGTTGTGGAACAAACTTTTTCTTTTGGATGGACCTTGCAAACATGATCTGAGCTGGGGGATTTTTTTTCCCTCACTAGATGCAATGGAAATATGAAATATGCATGTTTAAAACTGACCTGACGCCAGCCAAACTATTACAGACTTCGATATGGCATCTCGTGCAGGTTTGGTTCGTGGCGCGCGCACATTCATTTGGCCTTTCGCTTGTGTGCTTGTGTGTTTTGGTTGTTTTTCCATCGCCTCCTCCAACCACCACGGCCGTCGGTTGATCTGCTGGCAAGCGATACTGAACTGCCAGTCGGAGCCAGAGTGTCATTACGCTTATGACCAATATTTGCACGCCTGTGACTCGATCCTGAGCGGCCAGAGGAAGAAGTGTCCCAGTCACTGCATCTCGTCGCTGGTGCAACTCAACCTGACCAAGAGCGGCCCGGCGCTGGAGGACTGCAGCTGCGCCTCGGACCCCCGCTGCCGGGAGATCAAGCGAGCCATCGAGCCGTGCTTGCCCAAAACCAGCAGCATGGGTTGCACCGAAGCCCGGCGTCAGTGCGAGAGGGACATCCAGTGCCGAAGCGCCATGGGCGATTATTTACTCCACTGCGGGAAACTCTTCAGCGGCTCCAGCTGCTCGAACCCGTGCCGCAGTGTCATCGCGTACATGCGCAAACTTCCCAAAGCTCAACTCCTGGATTCTTGCGTCTGTGATGGCTCAGAGCGGACTATCTGCGAGTTTATCAAAAATAGTATGAAAACGCTTTGCTTTGACTATCCCCCCGTGGATGAAGAAGGCTCCAGTGGGTTGGACGATGATGAGCCCGATGATGAGGATTACTCAGAACCAGAGCCCACGAGGAACACAGGTTCTGCTTTTGTGGCATGTTCTGTTTTGACTGTGGTGGCATCCATTTTGGCTCTAGTGCCGCTTCCTTGATCACTTTGAAGTCGAGTTAATGATCTGCTCCAACGGCTGTTCGGGAATAGTGCATTTTGTCCATTTTCTCCGGTTTTCAAGTTCGTTAATGGCATGCTGTTTAAACATTTATTCCTTAAAACGATCTAGTTTTTATTTTTATGTGTAGCAAGCAATCCAATAGTGACTATCATTTTCAACTTTTATTAGAAGTCCATTAGGTGCTACTATTCTTTAAGTTACTAGTGGCTTTCCCAGTAGTTGTCTGTCCCACTTTCTAGCAAACTTTCTTGTCTCACTAGTTACTGTTGCTTTTACTGATCAAATGTAATGAGAAGTCAGAGTAGCTACTTTTGTAGCCATAAAATTAAATAAAAATTAAATTACAAAACGTACTGAAAGGATACCAGTAGGCTAGTGTGTATATTCAGTTGAAAAACCTGAATAGATTCTAATACGTTTGAATAGTTTGTGAACCACAGCTCCCCATAGAAATGAATGGCAAAAAAATAGACAATTTCATAAAAGTGACAATGGATTAGTTACTTGACATGACTAGCGATAGTGACTAATAGCAAAATTACAAGTAACTAATGAATAAATACTAATTCCTGAAGAATTCAGTGAATTGAAGAAAAGGTCATTGTTGGATTACTTGCTAGCAAATAAAAAAAAGTACTAGTATAATTAGCTTTAAGGAATAAGTGTAAACACAGCTTGACATGATTTTTCTCCAAAGAGTACAAGTTAAGCTTTGTGTGACACTGAGGTGCAGTTCTTATCCAGAAATTGTCACATTGTAAATGTGTTTTGATTCACTATGCAGATTTACAGTTACAAATTCGCCCCAGATGAACAATGCCTTGTCTAATGAAAGTTTTAATTATCAAGCTAAAATTCTGATTCTGAAGTTAAGAGCAGGGATACAAAGTACTTTAGGTCAGTCAACTGCCTTAAACACCAACTTGCCTATTTCAAGTGCTATTTTGTTAAAGACAACTTTATTTCATTAAAGATATAGAAAAAGTTTATTTTGTTACCTAGACATTTTAACAGCGAAAGTTGTAATTATAAAACTGTGCACTGCCAATGTAAAACTAGATTTTTTTAAACATGTAAATTATTTTTATAAAGTTACAAATGACTTTGGATAAGTAACTTCTGTAAAAAGTCTTTGGGATGCTGGAATGAATAAGGAGTAGATCTCTATATTAGCTAGTAACGTTTGATACATCTTATGAAAGTCCTAGAGATTCAAGAGAGAGAACTTTATTTTTGTCATAAAATAACCGTCAAAACAAAGGGTGATGATTCCAGCTTTAAAGGGAAGTTAAATGTTTGTTGTAATTATTTTTCTTTTAAGATATTGTACAGTGTACAGATTTTCAGAGAATCTTTTAATTGTTATCTAAGATGAACTATTTACTGTGTAGACATGTCTAAATCCACTGTATGACTGCCTCAGTGATGTTCTTTTTATAGAAGGCATAAAAACTAAAGTACAAAGACTCAAAACGAGTATGTGTAATTTTTTGTGTTCGTTATATTTCATAGTGTCATTACGAAGTTTCACTGTATTGACCACATGCATGGATTCCAATGCTGAACTTAGAATATGCTTGCTAGCACAGCAGAGCTTTTCAGGAGCAGATTAAGTATCACACACATAAGGAGCTTGAAGCGCTGACACACGACTTAGCAAACAGAAGTGTTGAATGTTTATGCTGAAGGCATAAACTCTGATATTTGGATATCTTTAGCAAAAGTGTGAGTGGCTTTTCCCTGGGGTGTCCGTGTTGCATCGGGACCAAAACAGACAGAGGTTTATTTATTTTGCGATCACTGTGTTTGCTTACAGGCCTTTGTCTGCACGCCACTACTGCAAGTATAAAGCAGGACTTTAGTTTTTCTAAACTAACAGAGAAACAGTAGCAGAACAACACAAACTGCAAATTGATTATATTGTGACAAGTTCTATATTTGAGTGGATTGGTCTTTTTAGATGCTAAAATGGAAAGCCAGTAGAAATGAACTGTCAGAAGGGTGTGGACTATGTAGGATAAGAGTAAACTTGAACGTTACTGATTTTTGATGTTTCTTTTTCCAAAAAGCAAATTCATTTTATCTGCAGTGTGACTGGTGATCCTTGCTTTAACCGGCTTAATAAAGAGAGGCTAACAGTGAAAATATGTATCTGGGATAAGTTATACAGTACATCTATCATACCAGCACCCAAGTCGGTCTTGCAAATGCTGAACGACTTGTAGAGAACGACTCTAATTTTAAGTTAAACATTTCTTCCATTAGAAATTTGCAGCCGTTTTCAATTATAATTTTCCCTGTAACATATAGATATTTCTTTATAGATTGTATAAATTGCTGTTGCACATATTTCCATTTTATACATGAACAAGCTACATGAACAAATTTGTGTCAAGTTCTCTGTAAGACGTAATGGCTTGCCTGATTGTTGGTAAATGCTTTCCTCAAAGAAAAAAATTACATGTTTGCAGGTTTTCTTCTGGGGCTTGAGGGTGCATATATGCATACATTGTTGCCTCCATGTCATTTAATCATATGCAGCTAGGCCTCTCTCTGTCTCTCAGCTCCATGTTGTTAAAACCCACCACTCTTATTCTCCCACTCTTGTCACCAGGGTCTTCAAATGGGGGTGATGGTTGCAAAATGTTTTATTAGAGTGGGGACAAGGGCCCTTCAGCCAGCTGAATGGAGGAGAAGTCGAGTGGCACTTTTGTCATGGTAATGTTAAGCACATAATAGTTCAACAGAACAATGCCCAGGCACTTCATTCCTCTAGAGCTCACTGACACCTCTTCAGAGCCGAACCACAGGGTAGCATGTGGGAAAGATCCTCTGCCCCCCCCGGTCCACATACTCTATGCAGTCCCCACTGCTGCCTATGTACTTCATCATCTTTGGGGGGTAGTCGAAGACCACATTTTTTTTCCCTCTTGCGCTCAATTTCAGTCTATGCAATAGAGCCCAGCATGTGCAGTATTAAATAATGAGAGTGCACTCAGAATGGCCAATAGGATGGCAAAATTGAAATCGAGCATCTAAACTAGTCATGTCACTGTGGCCTCTTCAAAAAAAAGATGGATTTTTTTTTTTTTTTGCTGTAACTGTCCTGCAGTGGCATTGTGGATGAAAGAGACTACTTGCCATAGAAGTGTATTTCAAAGTAATGTGTTTGCAGTTAATGCCTTTAATTCTCAATATTTAATCTTGAGTGTACAGTTTGGTGTTTGATGATTAGGGTTTAAATGAGAAATCAGATTTTATCAAATGAAAAAGACAATACAAGAAATGAAGTGTTTCAAAAATGTATTTAAAATGTTTATTATTGTGGTAACACTTTAGTATGTGGACCAATTCTTACTATTAAGTAGTTGCTTATTAGCATGCCTATTATTAACGTATTGGCTGTTATAAAGCACATATTCTGCATGACGATATTCTACATCCCTAATCTTACCCAATACCTAAACTTAACAACTACCTTAGCTATTAATAAGCAGAAAATTAGGAGTTTATTGAGGCAAAAGTCGTAGTTAATGGTTTGTTAATAGCAAGAATTGGACCTTAAAATAAAGTGTGACCATTATTGTTATTTATATTTTTTATCATATTTTCAGTGTTCATGTTCAGTGAAGGTTTTGTTTTAACAAAATTCAAAACACTTAATAGTTGCTTCATTATTAATTTAGATAATGCACCAATTGTCTTGAGGCTGTACACTTCACTTGTTGTGTTTTCAATTACCTCTTGGCAAAAAAAAAATTGTTCCACGTCCAAGAGGTACAGGAAAACGACAGGAAACCTCCCAGCAGTGCTTTCGAGTTATATTTCAGCAACGTTTTGCAACTATTCCTTAGCCCATAAAATTTCAATACTTTTGTCGTAGTGCTCAAGCATAGGTTCAACGGAAGAATTCTTGTTTTCAAACTCCTGAGAAATTATGTGATAAGTGATGAGACATGTAGACAGTTGGTATGGCTGAGCCTGGGCTGAGCATTGAAATGGAAAGCTCATTGCATAGGATTTAGACTAATCCTTTAAAGTTAGCACAAGGTATTTAATAGTGAAGTTGCTGGCTGAGGCCCCCTGTAGTCTTATTCCTAAGTAACAGTTGTTTTCTAAATGATACGACGGAAGGTGTGAGCTGGTCTCTGGTGTTTAAACATCTTGTGTGTTTATTAGTTGTTCAATATGGATTTTGACTATTATTTCCTTTTTCCACCCACACTGTGTTCCCTTTTCTGACTTGAAGAAACTTCTCTTTTCTTTGTTCTTTGGTTTTTAGAGACAAATCAGGGTTTTTTTTCTTCAAGCTGCCACTTTGATTTCATCATGGAAGACCTTTGTGGAGTTCACGGCTCTTTGAAATGAGTGAAAAGACCTATGTCCTGGCTCTCTCGAGGGGTCTGCCACTTTTCCCTGGGTGCGAAAGCTCAGGATTAAGCCGGTCACAAAGAGATCACTTACCTGAGAATTCGCTAAGAGAATCTCCATAAATCTGTACCCTGTATTTAGTGCGATAGAACAAGCTTAATGTCCTGTTCTTATATTGTTGGAACACTGGAAACAACTCCTACCATTTTTGTTAGCGTTGTTGTAAACAATGACATGAGTATTGGTGAAAGTGAAGCATGTTTGTTCTTTCTCCATGGCAATAACCAAAGACATTTTGAAATGGCATTGCCATAGTTCAGAGTTTCCCAAACTTTAGTTTGCAAACAAAAATAGATGAAAAGTTAGTAATTAAATCTTAAAATATAAAATTGAAATAAATTGTTAAAAAAAACACAAATTAATTATGACATATAGGTAATAAAACAAATAAAACTGACTATTATTTGACATTGGGGAACCTTGAAGATGCTAATGTGGTGTTATATTATTGAAATTTTAATTTCTTTAAATCTCAGGGGGTCCGGTAAATACTCCAATGTAAGGCTGACAAAAAATGTGAATCTCTGCCTTAGTTGGTCACCAGTATGTACAGAGAGAGTTCACCCCAAAATGACATTTACTCACCCTTATGTTGTTCCAAGCCTGGATGAATTTCTTTCTTCTGTTGAACACAAAATAAGATATTTTGAAGAATATTGGTAACCAAACAGTTGCTGGTAGCCATTGACTTCTGTAGTACGGAGAAAGCAAGAAAAAACTATGGTAGTCAGTGGCTACCTTGGCTATCTTCTTTTTTGTTCAAGAGAAAAAAAAAATAATGCAGTTTTGGAACAACATGAGGATGAATAAATTGTGATAAAAATTTGGGGTGAAATATCGCTTTAAAGCTCATTGATGAACTATGATGTATCATTATAAACATTGTGTTTATTTTAACTGACTGTATGTCAGCAATTTAATAATACAAGCTTGCAAGTAATTTCTATTCATTCACATGACATCTGTGTGAGCTGTTAAACTGACCAAAGTTCAATGTCCATATGTTACGGCTGAGCTCTTAAGAAGCTAGTTGTTTTTATATTTTATTACTGTTCATTCTTACCATGAGGTTTATTGAACAGCTATACAAGTAAATGAGAATAATGAAGTAATTCATGCATGCTGTAACAGTTGGCTCTAGTGGAACAGAGGAACTTCGATCACTCTTAAGGGAATAATGGCAAATGAAGGAGACGTTTGGCTGCTTGTTTTCACTCAGGAGGATAATGAGGTGATGGAGGGAGAGGTGTTTTTTACTAGAGCAGCCCACAGCCCATTTTTTGTACCAACAGCCATAAAATCCATCTGACAGGCAGCACAGGGGAGGGAAGCGTGCAGACGCAGGAGGAGAACCCCCTAAACTGGGTAGAGAGAAAGGAATGCTGGGTAATGGTTCCAGGGAATGAGAAACAGCACTAAATCTGTAAAGAATTATAATCTTTGTGTATGAGAAACAACATTTTAAAAGCAGAAAACTGGCGCATGAGCCACATTCTCTTGCGGATTCCTCTGTCATCGTGGCATTCAGATAAATAAAACTGAATTATTTTGTTAAGTGATTCATTAAACAACTCAAAAAGGGTGTTTGAATATGACAGCTTATCTTTCTGTTGGTTTTAGCCTTTGCCAACGCTCTGTACAAGGCCTGTGTGTCTGACCCAGTATTCAAATGATCAGGCATAACATGGCCTGCTCTGAATTGTTGGCAGCAAGCAGCTGTTTCAGGCACACGATTGCACCCGCAGAAGCAGGAGTCATCATCCAGCTTCTTCATCTGACCACAGGACAAATAAACTATCCCACAGACAAGCAAAACACAAGCGCATGTCGAAGGAGGAAGGACACAGAGGCTGAGCGAATAAAGAGGGGATAGGAAACCGTGGAAAAGAGGAGGTTTTCCACTTGAGCCCTGCAGACCTGTTGGTAAAGAAGCAGCGTGTGTGTGTGTTTGTGTTTTTCAACGAGAGGCCATTGACTTAACATTGACCAAGCGCACTGGGCCTTCTCACTTACAACTACACAATACCTCAT